CAAATTATTCTCTTCCATTTTAGGCATTTGGTCTATAGGTACTAACTTGACACCCGCTATGCTTAGCCAACAGGCCAACTTCCTGAACTGTGCTGTGCCCTCAGCATGACCTAGATACTCCAGAGCTAACAAAGTAATTCAAAATAAGGAAATGTAATAGAAAGGTCATAACAATAAGACATGCTCCATGCCGCTGGTGCTACTAAATAAAAACGTGAATCAAGAGCCAAGCCATTTGCCAATATGTGCCTCAGTATCCCTTTAGACAAGAAACTAAGTAAAATGCGACGCATTTGGCAAATGAAAGTAAACCAAAATAGAGATTGTTGGTAAACTGTTTTTGTTCTAATGGAAGGAAATGTATGGGGCTCACTAACCTCTAGATGAGGAAAAAGGATGCTTTTAAACAAATGCATGCTGCCTGGGGATCTTGGCTTCCCGTTAACTCAGGACAGGAACTGAATGATTGCCTCCAAGGCTGCGGTAAGCACGCATAGGAGGAGGCCACAGCAGCAGGCGGAGAGACCTTGAACAGTCTCAGTTCTGATGGTGTAAGGTCACCTGCTCACCGACCAAACCTAGGCCAGGTGCTCAAAGGACTAAAGGGCAAGAGCCTTCAGGAGGCGCTGACCTGTTAGCCACAGCTGACGCTGCCCAGCCCCACCTGCTATCCCATCTGACCAAGCCATCATTCCACATACAGGGGTGCAGGAACCGTGACAGAGAGGCCAGCTGGCTTGGGCCAAATGCCACTCCCTATCAAGCTGTGGGGCCGTCTGCCCAAAAAAGGCCACATAAAAATGGAAAGTGTCCACCCCATCTTGAAGTCCAGAGGGCTCTCCAAAAGGCTGGGATCAATGACAGCAGCACATATGGGACTGTTGAACAATTATCTTGACTTTCCTCTTGAGAGTCACAACTCCAACTCCCTCCTGGCTGCAGAGACATCATTTCTAGGAGAATGCCATTTTTCCATGATGTGGAGAGCAGCCCAGAGAGAGCTACAAACCTGTGCCATGAGAACCACTGCCCAGGTGAATATCGTGCCTGTCTCCACTCATTCTCATCTTTGCAGGTGGTCTCAGAAGACCAGGGGCCCCTTTTCTAAGGATGCTCCCTCCACCCACATTCTCTCTCCATCTCAGTCACTCCATCTCTTCCAAGTCACTACCCTTAATCATCTCCATACATCCTTCCTTCTCAGAAATCAGACCAGTAACTCTCATGTTCCCTATGGTATTTTCGCTCCATCTTTTTTATATTCTCATTTGCCAAGAAGATTTTGTTGAGTTTTACATTCTGTAATTGGTATTCTGAAAACAATAGATATATTGAATAGCTTTCCCAACTATACATGCTACATTCTGTTCAAATCTCAAGAATTAGTTATAAAAGTACTCAAATGCTGACATCCTTAAAATGTTACCTTGACCCTTTAGCGTTCACTTTTCTGCACTGTTTCCATCCTCTGTTAGATTTTTGTGAAGAACAGTCTATTTTTAATTCTGTTCCTTATTTCTCACATTTTCCCCCAATTGCCTGTAATCTGCCTTAAGGCTGAATCGACTCTGATGAAACTACACTGACAAAGGTCATCTGTGACTTACTAATTGATAGGAAAATCCTTCATAGTTTTTACCTACTTGATCTTTTAGGTAAAATCTCACACTGCTAACGCCTGGGAATTCTAACTTCCCTTGGCTTCCAGAAGACTACTCTCTTTGGGTTCTCCTTCTAATCCTCTGACCATGTTTTCCTTGCCCATGTATGAATACTTAGCCTACTCCTCACAGACTGTAATTTTCCAGGGTGCTTATTAGTCCTAAACTGGTCCTCTAGGCACTGAAACGGTTTTAACTGTTGTCTATATGCTGACAGTTCCTCCACCTGAAGAATTTGCCTAGGTCTTTCTGCTGACCTGAACATTCATTCCTATGGATACCTCAAATATTACATGTCTAAAACCAAACCAACGATCTGCTCCAAAAGTCTATTTTTACTTTTCTGTTGCCCTTGGACATGACAATCTGACCAATCACTCAAGCCTTGGGTGCTTTATCTCCTACACTCAATATCATCTCCCAATCCTGACCAAAAAAATCCAGTCATTCCCTGAATTATCAAGTCTTCCTCCTAAATACTTTTCAAATATCTTCTCCACTTCCAGATTTCAGGCCTCTAGCCCTCTTGTTTCTTAACTGCTCTCCCAGCCTTCAGCCTCATACAGTCCAATGTATCCACCAAAATAAACTTTCTTAACCCAAGAAAGACTAGCTCCTGTCTGTGTTTCCAACTTTATCCCAACACCCCTCTCTTCACTATATTCTACACACCCAAAGGGTTCCTGGTTGCCTGGACACATCCGGATATAACATACCTCACACCTTCGTACATGCTGTGACCTCTACCTACAACGTTCCTCTCTACCTCGTCCTCTCCCCTCCCCTCCCCCAACACTGTAAACTCATATTTGTCCTTCAAAGCACAGACAGCTCAGATATCAGCTCCTCAAGGAGGCATTTCCCGATCCCCAGGTAAATAACTAATCATTTCATCCTTTGTTCTACTTCTGCGCCTTGTAAATAATTCTATTATTTCACCTAATGCCCAACACTGCAGTTTGTTTACATGTCTGCCTTCCCTCTAGAGCTTCTCGAGACTCAGGACGCAGTCTGATCAGGATGATGTTCCCTGCTCCAAGTCTCAAAAGGAAAAGCCAACAGCCTTCATTTCAGTCTGGAGCAGATGAGAACATCTCCTTTTCATAATTTATTTCCATCAATAGATAACTATGGCTCTACCATGGAGGCTGTGACCCATGCATGCACACACTGCACAGTCTTGTATGGCCACTGCATACAAGAGCGAAGGAAAGCTCCAGTTATGAATCCGCTAAGTCTTTGTGAGGGGAAGGGGAAAGAAATATATGTATTGATGACCCACTTGATGGCAGGCTTGTTCTGAACCCTTTTCTCATCTCGTTAAACTCTCACAGCCTCCCGGAGAGGTATGATACTCTCTCCAGTAAACCCATGTGTAAACTGAGGCTTGAAGAGGGTAAATAATCTCCCTGCCTGTGCGGCGTAGAACCATGACTCAAACTGAGGTCTGCTTTCTCCTATTACTTTTCAATGTCCTGTATCTTTGCCAAGTTTCTAAAGAAACCAGAAGATACATAATGTAACCGCATACAGTATGGCAGGAGAAAAATGTAAAAGCTTATATTTTTATCATGTATTTGCTTCGGTAATCTATCTTTCAGAATGTAAGTTAACTCAGGAAATGCCTCGTGAATTGCTAAGCTCAGAATAATGCCAAGTAGACAGAAGAACTGGCTGATGCAGAGTCTAGTGATCAGACTGGCTGTGGTTAAGCGCAGAACAACCGGAGGGCTTCTCTAGGAAAACTCAGCCAAGACAGGTCTACGGCTCCCAGCCAGTTCCATTCAGGTAGCTTTGAGTTTAGCAGCCAGAACTGTGGCGTTTTCTTTCCCCTATAGATCTGTGGCCAAGTTTTCCAGAAAGAAGAATAATACTGTTTCTCTTTCACACCTCTGGGATAAAGCTCTACACTGTCAAAAGGACGCCTTTGTTTTGCAGGTTTAGAGCAAAGGATGAAATAAATACACACCTCAGACTCTGTAACAACTAGAATTCACTGCTAAGGTACTTCTCCGCTACGGAAATCTTAAGAAAAGGGCAAAATGGCTGCATGAAGGGACCCTCTCACACACTGCTATGCCACCCCTTCGTTTACTGCATTTCTCATGCGCAGAAACACGCGCAGCCCTCCACGCGGTATGGGTTTGCTGCGGCCCTTCTCTCCTACAGCTGCGCCTGAGCTTCGTGTCGGGCTTCAAGCAGCCCCTTCAGAAAGGCCGCAGAGCTGTGTAGTGACCATTAACTTTCTTAACAGTGTGTGAGTGTGCCTCAACCAGAAGTGACGGCCCGCAGTGGCAGTGAGCTTCACAGTCACGTGTTCAGTGAGTGGTTTTATCTCACATGATAACAGGTTTAGTTGGGGCCCGAGGGAGACCCTTCTCCAGAGAAGAAACTATCAGTGCCTTCCTTCTAGGGGGCGGTGGAGGCAATCTTGCAGGGACAACAAACATGGCTCCCATTTCTCTTCACCCATGGCAAATTCTATTCAAGAATCCAAGAGAAGCAGCACTGAGGCAACAGGACAGCCGCAGAAAAGGCAGTGTGCACTGGGAGAGCACGCAGCATATGTGCTTTGTGAGTGAGTGAATATCTGTGTGTACGGGGGTTGGGTGCAGGGTGCTGAAGTAAAATGACACTTTCTCCCAAAGACCACCGTTTCTGTGAAGTCCTGAATAAATAACTACTATTTGCCAGTAGGGAAGAAATAAAGCAATTTGTTCCTTGAATGCATAAAAACTGCTCAAAGAGCACAATTCATTCATAGTCTTGCTGGCTTGTGAAATCTTAAGCTACTAGAAAGGATAAGATAAGAAATATGTACATTAAGCCAACAAAGAAAGGAAAGCTTGCCCTAGCATGCCAACGTTAGTGCAACAGAGAAATACTATAGATGCAGGAGCCTGCGAAGGTAATGTCATGTCTGGGGTTTCATATAGGATTTGGATCCTAATGACATTTGAAAAGAACGAAAGAGAGACAAACAGCACTGCGTGGGGAGCTACGAGGGCAGAGTGTCTCGGCTCCTCTGAGGCCTGCCCACGACGAACGCAGCAGGGGTCACCTATCCTAAACAGGAAACGCCAACGGTGAGAATTCCCTTTACTCAGGCCATGTGAGGATATGTGCTGTCTTTTCAGCAACTCTACTCCTACGTCCTGTGAGTGGTGGAAATAAGAAGCAGGAAGAGGGCCCAGTGTTGGGTCTGCAGTGACAAAGACCAAATCTAGAAATTTTATGTTCAGATCTCAATTAGAGATGAAATCACCTAGATGCCCTCCAGCGAGGACCTCCGCGCTCCGGGAAAAAATTTCAGAGTAACATAGGACACATAAGACTTACCTGCGAGCAAGAAGGTGATAAGGCAAGTTTCCTTTGGCAAATATAGCTTGAGACGAGAACCACTGAAGACATATTCCACCACAGCTTCAGAACGGCCTGCCCGCTGGAGAAAGGGCAGGAACTGCTTTGCTTTTTGGGTATCCTGGTGGAGAAAAGAAGAATCTTTAGAAAGGTGATAAGATTTAGGTAAATGTTTCTTTCTCTGTGGCTTAGGACAGTCTAGCACACCACAGGAAGCTAGGCAAATAACCCTATAAAATTTCATTTCTAAAACCATGGCAGACACCAGATATCCATGTGACTTCCACAGAAAAAACGTAATTAATCAAAAGTTTCCAGAACATTCTCGGTGACTCTCCGCTTCTCTCTGTTCAGTTACTAAGCAACCAGTGGATATATGTTAGGAAGGTGCTTTGAAATGAGAATTTCACTTCTCTGGGATAGGAAATAAAAGCTCCCCTTCCGTCTACAGGAAATTGAGAGAAGACCAACACTAACCTTCAATGGAGGTTTATTTAACCTGTGATTTTCAATGGGGAAAAAAAAAAAAAAAGTGACTACCAGGCTGCATGATATAGCCCCTACAGCCCTTTCCCAGGAAACCCAAAGTCGTTCAGCTTCCATCTTCAATAGGTATGTAGATTCAGAGCTCACAGTTTCTTAAGGAGAAGAACACAACCTTCAGGCACTAGCACAGCAAGCCCTGCTCTGTGAGCTTTTCAGGGATGAGCCAGGATGGCACAGTGCTCCTGTTCCCAGTTTGGGAGATCTGTTACAGCAGGACATGCTCCACAGGGACCAATCCCACATCGCGTCAGCATGAAAAATTATGGAAACAATAAAAACATACAAAACTGCATAGCATTTTTAAAACTTCTTTTCACTCATCCACAAAAGGGCATGCATTCTACCTCAAGGGTATCAAATCATGGACATTTCAAACCTCAGAGCTCTAAGCTACAGAGCAGCTAAGACAGCCTTCAAATCCTTTCAGTCCATCAAGCTACTTAAACAGATAATAGAGTAAGCAAGCATCAAAACATCACATTGCATGTGCTGGGGGAACAGTCACTGGATGTCAGAATTTCCAAGGCTTTCAGCCCAGCCAGCAGAACTGTCAACTTCCTCCGAGGACAGCAAACTCTGTACACCTTCCTGACGCCTGCAACACAAGCACTCCACCAAGCTCCTCCTTGCTAACTCTGCTCCTAGCAACAGAGCTATTGTATCTAAATTAATGCACATTAGATAATGAAAATTTAACAAGCCATCAAGAATTTGAGAGTTCTCATAGCAGCCAAAGGGGCTCCGCTCATTCAGAAGCAGTGAGGTAGGTTGGGATGAAAACAATATTTATAGTAATGAGAGTAATCCTTCTCTTCAAACAGTTTCTTGGAGAAAAGGAGAGACAGTCATCTGTTCTCTGTGTCTCTAATGGAACACTGGTAAAAGGTAATGGCACAATGAGCTTTCGTGGGTTGGAAACTCCCCCCAATGAACACTTAAGCTATTCCACTGTCTATATACAGTAAAGAAAAGGCCTTTCTGGAAGTTGGCGGAAGTCCAGAACAGTCGAGCAAGACAAATGTTCTGTGGGAAAGAAAGTACTACCTGATTAAAATCCTTTTTCCGTACAAGTCTAAATCTGGGACATTATTCATGAGCTGAGCCAGTAAGTCAACAACAATTATCAAAATGATTATTGCAAATCATGAGGCAACTTAATGTCTCCGAAGAGAAGGCCTTTCCACTTAAGACTGCAGTAATTTATATTTTTCACAGACTTTTGCTCATCATTATCTTCGGCATATATTTATCTGGAAAAAAGATGCTTACAGGAATAACAAGAGCACACACAAACACAGGTATGCCTTTAATGTTAATAATAAAAAGGATGTTGAAGCAGACTCTTCCTAATTTGTTAAATGATTACCTACTTTATCAAGAGAGAGATAGTTGACCCTTGACTAACTTTGGTTTGAATTGCATGGGTCCACTTATATGTGGATTATTTTTCAATAAACACATGCATTATTATGATTTTCTTAACATTTTCTTTTCTCTTGCTTACTTTCTTGTAAGAATACAGTATATAATACACATAATATACAAAATATGTGTTAATCAACTGTTTATGTTATCGGTAAGTGTTCTGGTCAACAGTAGGCTATTGGGGAGTCAAAAGTTATATACGGATTTTCGACTACGCAGGGTGTTGGCACGCCTCACCCTGCACAGTTCAAGAGTCAACTGCATTTACTCAGGCTGAGATCAAGGAGAAGCGAAGGTACCTTACTCTTAGCCATGTAATTAAAAAAAAAAAATAAAAAAAAAATAAATCAACAGATGTTCCAGATTTCTCCTAAGTCTCAACGCACAACTTAACAGTCCTATTCCAGAAACAACATGGGAAGTCAACAAAGAGAATGTGACATGCCATTGATTATGATAAAGATTATAAGTGAAAGCCAACTATGAAAATTGAAGGCACAAAAGCAAATTTTAAAGGCCTACCAGAATTGGCCATTTTTATTTCCAGAGGCAAAACTGCAAGAAAGCACATGGGTGCCCCCCTCCAAAGGCCTGAAGATGATGACATGCCCATGGACCATGAGTTAAGGGAAAAGATGGAAATTCACTCAAGTTGACAGGTTTTTAGAAATAAAAAATTCTTATAAAATGTCAATCGAATGGAATGTATTCACCAAAAGATGTCAGCTCTTTCAAACCTCAGTCAGTGGTCTGTTGTCCCTTGTCATCTCAAATGCTTCCTTCGCTTGGCATGATCCTTTGCAATACAAAACCCCTTGAAACCTTTAATTTTTGTTTCAGTGGCTCAAATGAAAAGACTGGTAAGGCCGACTGACAGGTTCCCTCAGGTGATGTAGCCTTAAATCAGCCCCTGCTAATTTAGCTACAGAAATTATTCATGTTAGTTTTGACTGTATTACTATAAAATTGACTAAATGTGGTTAAACAATTTGACTTTCAAAGAGCTGGGGCAAGCATAGTGATGTGCTTCATTCTCTTACCCTCACTTCTAAGGTTACAGAAGAAGTAACTAAGAGAAAACTTGATTATGAGAACTAGTATAACAGAGGCCAGTTTAGGCCCTACGAAGGAGCTGAAGATGCCAGGTAGATCTTAAGGATGATGGGAAAGTGATAAAGTTCAAAAAATGTCATTAACATGACATTTTAACAATCTACCAATAATCCTGAAGGAGGACCTACTGAGATTTAGTGAAATTAACAATTTCTTTACAACTTTAGAACTCCAAAATATATTTTAAAAAATAAAATTAAAGGTCTCATATTTAAAGAGATAACACTGAGACGTGATAGAATGCTCATTTTAAGGCGAGACTATTAAATATCAAACATTTCTACTTGCAAGTCTAGCTGCAGACTCTCGCTTATTTACAGGAGATCTGAGCATCTATCTGCCATTGTTATCTGGTACTACATTGGCTCAAGGCTCTGAGAATCCGAGTAGATAAAGTGGTTATAGTTTTCTGTTGTCTGTACCAATATTCCCCTCCACTGGTGTAAATAATCAAGAAGCAACTGTACTTCTGCGCAGATAAGTCTTTTTTGTTACACTGATAGTTTTCACATTACCTGTGCTCCAAAACAAAACATAACTATTTTCCTGTACTCTTAGAATAGCTAATTTAAGGATACATTAGCTACATTTAACCTGCTATTGTGGATGGCATCTCTTTAAGGAATGTTTCTGCTTCCTCGATGCACCTTGAAATTGAGAAAGTAATGATGCGACAAATGTGCCTGGGGTGACTTCATTTCAAAGGATGTTAATATCTATACCTCACACTTATAAGAGTAGGGTTTTGAATGGCCCTGAAGACAGGCAGGATGGTCCTTAAAAAGAGGAAAAGGTTATAAGGGCACATTCATCAAACACTCCTACTTGACCCTCACTTCTGACCCTCACTTGTCAGGCCACAACTCTTCCAAATGTGGATACATGTATCAACACCTGTAAGAAATGCCCCTTCCTAGTTAGACTGCAACTTATCTCTACAAAGTGTCTTCCTTTGCAAGAAAATGAAACACCAATTTTGGGAGAGTGGGAAAGTTGGGGGTGAGGGGAGGGAGATCAGGAGAAGCAGAGTCCTTGTGTGGCTGGCACAGGACAGAGGTCCACAGAACACATAGAGCCAAGTCATCTGCATCGTAGAAGAGCATAACTCACATAAATCAAAGTTTTGTGAATTCTGGAACAGGGTTTTAGGCTGTCAGTTTGTACTAGATGTTAGCAAAGTGAATGGATTCTATGATTTTTCCACTGAAAATACGCATTATTGTAGGCATTAACACAGTTAGGACCGGTGAGAGGGGGAATATCACAACATACAAAACAGCATAGGGAAATGGGAATAAGAGTAAACCTATTAGTTAACAATTAACCACTCAGGATTATCATGTGCAAGTCTCAAATGGGAACTGTTAATAATGAAACTCACTAATTAGTTCTCATCGTCACAATCACTCTTTGATTAACATCACAGGAAAAAGAACTAAAAACAAATACATGTGGGGCTTAGCATGATAGCACAGGAACAGTCCACCAGCACTTGAGAAACTGAATTGGAACGAGGAACATCAAACATGATGGAGCTTCCATGCCCTGCCCACTCCAGCAAACCAGGTAGGTGTCACTCCTGTGAGAGCTGACTCCCCTGTACCTACAGGGCTGACCTGAGGCTAAAGGATTCTAGAGCACAATGCTGTTTGGGTCCTACAAATCCTAATATTGCAGCAGCAAAATGTGGATGTGTACAAGAGCACAGACACAGAAAACAAAGAGCGTGGAGATCAGAACTAACAGCTAAGAACACTGAAGCAAACGCACTCTCATTTCAGGGTGCACTGTGAGAACTTACTGCCATAGTTATCTGTTTTTGTCGGGCTCTCCAGACAGGAAGAATTACTTCTACAACTACAAATCACAAGTACATCCCCCACTGGAAAGGCAAGAGTCATCAACACTCCATGCTCTTCCTCCTTTCCACAGCTCAGGCACTATATGGCCCAAGTGATATTTTAACTCAAAGAATGAGATTATGGTTTTCTGCTAGGAACCACTCATACGGGCAAGATAATCTCTGAATATAAATGG